CAGGAAAAGATTCACCAGTCGCGGGTCAGGAAGCGACTTGCCCTCATGCCTCCCCGCCTTCTCGGAGTGGATTGTGGCCATGCACCTGGCAAAAGGCCCCTTCCCCGAAAGACTCGAATACCGTCTCTTTTCTTTTCCCCCGCTCAAAACGGCAAGAAAGTGGTGAGTTCCATGAGATGGAGTCAGGATGAACAAACCTGAAAGTGTGCCTTGACTCACTTGACAGGAGAAAAAGAAGAAGAAACAAACCGCCCAGGTCTTCCCGATAGATCAGCTGTCCAAAGCTTCAGGTCCAGATCTTTGACTTGGAAGGTCGTTCGGCTTCTCTAAGAATCGAATGGGCGATGTCAGGTGAGAATATTTGGAATGTATGTCGATGCCCTAAGCGGAAGTGAAGGAGAATACTGAGACTCACTGCATTTGTCGTGGGGCAGATGGAATGACATTTTTGGGGGCATGACCTCGCCATGGCTCCCCTTGCACCACTGTCAGTGCATTAATATTGGCATTTGGTAAACTCTACAGTAGCTTGGTCACAGGATGATGGTGGCGCATGCACATATTGTTGGAGTGGTGAGCAAAAGACGCCTTGCATGCCTTGCCGCAGCGCGATGCATGACAGGACGGCCGCACTCTGTCTGATTACAACATCCAGAAGGCGCGTTGCTTACAGAAAGGTCTTGGAGAAAGATGTCTTTGGGAGCAGCATGACTTTGCTCAGGCCAGAGAAGTTGGCGTTGTTGTGCATGAGATATGAGATGCAAGGGGGATCAGTTGTCGAGCCGGATGACAACTGTAACCTGGTGGTTTGGATAGGTTTGGACAACCTGGTGGTTTGGATAGGTTTGGGGGTGGTTTTTCTAGAGGGTTGTTCTGGGGGAAGGTCATAGAGCAAGGCCATGTCCACCAAGCCTTGATCTTCCCTGAAACAAGCAGGCCTTATGGAAGGAGCAAGCAGCACGCCCCAATGCGAAGGGTCCCTTTGCCAATCAAAGCCACGCAGTGGACATAGATTCCCCACAGTTCTGATGTCTACCATTTCGGGTCCTGAAAAAGGAAAGTTCGCTCTCCTCCGGAGAAAACCAAACAAAAAGCCAGAAAAACAAACAACTTTTTCCGCCACACAACAAAGAACCGGCGAAAAGCAAAAAACATTTTTCCGCCACACAAACCGTTCAAAGCTCCAAAACCCATCACAGCACCTTGGGCCAGGAGTCCACCTTGCACCTAGTGCTGCGCCTCAGGGGCGGTCACTGCCAGGTGCCTTGCGGCTCCTTGGGCGCAAGGAAACGCGCAGGAAGCGAGGCCCGGTTTGCGGTTTGGCAGGGTCCGGGAGACACCCAGCTAGGTTCGGGAGGTCTGCACCCAGCTTATTTCTTTTTGGAAGCTCTCATTTTGAGACTAAAAGACTGACAACAGTTCAATTGTTTGTTGATTTTCCCCTGTTGGTTTTAAAGTTGGAACCTATCACTACTGGAAATACGTTTTTTTTTTTTTTTTTTTCCCTGGAGGCTAGAGCAAACCGTTTTTTGCTCTTTGGCCCTTTGGTTGTTTCTTCACGTCAAGCAGCAGAACGTCATTTAACTTGTTGCAGGGGGCTAAGTCCGGTCAAGGAACAATGTCAAGCGGGTGCTTTGGTGGAAGTGGAAGTTTAGATCTGTCTTGGGAGTGCATGCCTCTTCTGCCTTCGACGTCAAGGGTTCTGCGCTGCTTCACGGTTGGACCTGTTGTAACCTTTGATAAATCCGTCAATGGCTCCCTAAATGCCACGCCACCCAACACACACAAACATTCTTGGGGAAGATTAGCATCAAATGATCACTCTACACCGTGTTCAAACCGCCCAAGAAATAGCAAACAGACCGCCAAGAGCAGGTCCTTTGCAACATGACCCTTAGCACATCCTGATAGAACAAGGGTGGCATACTAAGATAGAGAATGAAGTGCCCAAATGAATGATGGATGAATAAAACAAGATTTGTTTTGATGCGCTCAATTGCGTTGCGAGGTGCGTAGATGTCACTTGCGCCAGCCTGTGCAAGTGCATTCTTGAGAGCGCCTGATATACACACCATGGAACTGTGCTATTGAGAGGGCCATCCCCCGTCGGATGTGTACCCCTGATTACAACTTGGCTAAGTGGGTTGGCCAAGCGCCCGAGGGATCTTTGACGACCCCAAGCTGGTGGCTGATGTGAAGGAGGCGGTTGCCACCATCAAGAAGGCGGCATATGTGCAATGCCCTGGCAGAGCTGTGTAAAGTATCCCCACCTTCTTCTAAATGGAATTGTGGGACGGGGGTGTATGCTTCCATTTTCCCTTTTGTGGGGGAAGACTAAACAAATGGAATTGGGGGACCCCCCACTCCCCTCCTCCTAGAGGGTGGATTGCAGCATATTGTGCAAGTGGAACCCGCCAGGCCCGGTTTAGCTGAAAACGTGCTCTTTTAAGGTTCCATGGTGAGCAGCGTGGCAAACTGAGTGCCCCCCCCTCATGTCAGCGCAAATCGGCAGAAAGGAGCCGTGTGGACCCTGCTTGGCACGTTTAGCACACTTTTACAGGTCGAGTCCCAGGTTCTGTCATTTGAGTTTCTCCTGATTGGCGACGGTTTGAGGCCTTTTGAACAAGCAAACTGCAAACAGTGGCTCAAGGGCCAAACCTGACTCAATGGATGTTTCTTTGGACCTTTTTTCGGGTTCGATGGCAGGACAGTTATTGCTTCTTACTTTGATCAGCTGGTTCCGCAGCTCTATCGTGTTGGGATGCCAAAGCTGTGGATCCTTATTGGCTTCGAGGCTCATGAATTCAGCTTGCTTTAGTTTTCGAGGGAGGGCTTTGGACATGGACCACCTCCACCTTTTTGTTTGCATATCCGTTTTCACATTCCGACTCCCACGGCACTCCGCCTTTTTTGTGTTCCGCGTACCTTCGGGTCTATGGCAGCTCCGCAGGCCATGATGCAGATTGGCGAACTCTCGGCCGGTACCTCAGATTGTTCCTCCACCTGCAGTTTGGTGGCTTAAACTTGGCATACTTCGCCGATATGTGTGGTGCTTCTCTTTGGTAGGATGTTACATTGTTTAACCGGAGGAAACCTGATGTCCTTATTGCCTTATTGGCTGGGCTTAACCAGACATGTTCACAGGGCTCCCTCGATTACCCTTTCTGATGTTCAAATCACTTCTGGGACAGTTCGCACCACGTCCACGCAAAGGCATTGGGACTCAACCGGTGATGGGCACCGGATCAACTGTGAGAATCGGCTTTATTGTCTAGACAAGCAACGTGTTGACTATGAAGGGCCATTTTGGCCAAACAAATTGCCAGTCCAGTCTGCAAACGTGCTTGCTCCTTCTTGAGGCAAGGCAGTGTCAGGCGGGCCAATTTATATGTTATATAGACCCATTCTGATATTGTGTCAACAACATGGCATTCACAGTGTGAAGCTTGAAAAAGCAGGGTACCCTCAAGCAAAGGCACTCCCATTTGTTTCCATTTGGTGATGCATTCCTCGATTAGCAGCCTTTCCCCCGAGGCTGTTGTGTCTGTACGCTGCCTCAATTTGTCCTTGGCCGACATTTGATATACAGTTCCGCCAGAGGTCTTGGTTGTTTTGTTCGGGGCCGCCATCAGCGCTTCACAATCGGAAGTCCCTACAAGGAGCGGAGACATGACAAGCATTATGGCATGGCAGAAGCTGTTTCGACCCTGGCCCTAGGCAATGAACTCTTTGCTCAGTATTCCTGATTTCCACACTTGAAGGCCAACATGACGCCGCTGAACATCAATCAGATGACCCGCTGGATCAACACGAAGGACTGGTGTGCAGAAAGTGCAGCTGGAATCCCCATGTGGTCCAAGCACTGGTTAGTTTCCAATGAAAGGGCCCACGTCATGCCAGCAGTGCTCCCACCTCATGCCAGCAATGCTCCGCTTTCAATTGTCAATCATCCCCACCTTGGACACCCCTCCAGTGAGCTTTATTGAACAACACGTTGCATTGTCAAGCCTGGCACGCACTGGCACAAATTATTGCAAGGTCGGGGGATCGGACAAGTCAGCTGGGGGATTCATGGCAAAGGGTGGTGTGGACACCACCAGGTCAAGCAGGTGCTGCAGGGTTGCAGGCTTTCACATTCTCAAGCCGCGTCCCATACAAACCCGGAGAGGAAGAGCATGCCGGCAAGATCATCACGCTGATGTGACCAGGATAGACTATATAGCCATCATGCCATTTCATGTTTGCCGTGGTTTGCTTGCAGTATGAGATTTATCGGTACCCGGATATTTCAAGCAAGGAGCAAACCCCTGTCCTGTTTGTCCCCCGTGCCTTTGAAAGCCTTAGCTCAAAAAGTCATGCTCAGTCACTTCTCTCCAGCATGAAATACTTTTTGCAGACACTATTCTTCAGATGGCTTCCATGAGCGCTTGTTCATAGCACGTGCAAGCTGCAAGAACATGTTTCAGTTGTGGGGCACTGCCTCTCACTGGGTCAAGCCTTGTGTCTAATGACCATCTCAACTTGCCTCGGTTTGGTGACTATTTCCTCGCAGCACCTAAATGGTGTGATCGAGATGTATGGTGCAGTTTCGGGTCCGGAACATATCTCATGGGGCCGTTGGATAGGCCTACGGCGTTGAGGCTTAAGTTGCATTGTTTGGCCGCTGCTAGCCCAGGTCGGAGTACTGCCTGTGCCAACGGGTGAAGCCGGTCAGCGATCCGAAGACCCCATTCTCCAGCGAGGCAGGACCAATGGGACGATGCCTTCAGGTTTTCAACTTGCAGCTTTTGCGTAGGGAATGGTTTGTGGGGTTCTTGGGAGAACATGTAGGGATCACGGCTGGGCTGAGTTGCCGTAAACCATGACGGCTTGTAAACAAAGAGTCTTTATGGCCTACAGGTGGCATATCGTATACATCGCATTGAGTTGTACCAGGCTGATCCCTTTATGGGCTCTTACAGGAGCAAGTGAGCCCTAGTTGATTCACAGAACCTGCCCCATTTTACAGGGACCCTTGACTTTTGCGAACACTCCCCAAGTGTACCCGCTAGGTCCTGCTCCAAACCGGAGCCAACACCACGGTGCGAGCCTTCAAAGGATGATAAGACCTTCAAGGGAAGGGATCGGGGTTCCTTAGCTTTCCCTTGGCAAGGGATCAGTCCGGAGCAATCCTGCAGGCCGACTTCATCGCGGCCCTCCAGTCGCATCATCAGGCGGTGAGCGGAGCGCAAGCGGCCTTTGGGTCCTATTCGGTTTGTTTGAATAGGTCCCCCCTTTCCATGTATTGAACATGCCTCCACTTCCAGGAAAGCACTTGTACGGCATCGGGAAGACAAGACATGGTGTCGAATGTTCTATTGGCTTCGCGGGCCGGCAAGTACTGGTTACATTTAGTTGAGAGCTGTTGTGGGCTTTTCTTGAAAGTTTCCTTTCGAGGTCACATACTGATTTTGGGACATGTTTTGCAGTATTTCCTCCCAATTCTCTGTTACAATCCGACAATGATAACCCCTCGTTTGTTAATTCCTCTGTGGCAAGCGATTCCTTGCTGGGGGGGGGGGGGGGTGAAAGATGTTTTGGGTGGCAATATTCAGAAAGCAGGTGTTTGACCTGTACGGCTAGGGCATGTCCGATGACTTTTTGAGGAGGTCCTCACGCAGTTGGGGAGTTGGGGGTGGGGGGGGTAGGTTGGGGCTTTGGTGGCGGGAGGGTCGTCAGAGTCTCAGAGGTGGAAGACAGGCCTCCAGACTATTCCCACCTGGCCCACCTCTAACCTAGGAAATTGGGGAGGAGTTTGGTTTGCAGATTTGTAGACTTTGTGCTGAGGGGTCTCTAGTTGTTCCAGCCAAACGTCTTCAAACACGTTCAGCCGTGCAAGGCATGTCGCAGGTGTGAGTTTGCATTCGTAAGGGGCATGAGCACAAAGGTCGCTACATACAGTACTGTCATCCACCGTGCCAAGTGGGAGGACATTTGTCACACTTGCCAAACCATCAGGAGAAGCCCAACACCAATGTCAGGGCTGAATATTGACCGTGGCTCAATGTAAGGAACATGAGTCCAAGAAACCCCAGTTCAGAACACAGGTCATGCTCGCCGCTGTCAAGTGCAAGCAGAACGTGGACCCTGCCCTCGCGGATGCCCTTGATGCGGCGGTGGCCGATATGAGCAAGATGCAGCTGGGCAGGTTGATTGACTTGTCCAAAGGGCATTGACCCTTTGATATGTTGCTTTTCCCGTTATGAACCCCGCAAAAGGCTGATGCGGTAATATGGTTGTGGTTGTTTGGTTTGAGCTCAGCTTTTTGTTTTGTTCCTTTCGACCAATGCCTGAAACAAAAGTGTGTTAACTTGTTCGACATGTTTTATTCCTTCTTGAGCAACTTTGGCCTCCTAGTGTTTTCCTTTTGTGCCTTTTTCTCGCTTTTCCGTTTCCCCTCGACTTTCCCACCGATCCTCGTGAGATGCACAGCGCGTTGCGTATTCGTCTTAATCTGCCGGGCTTGGCCCCGGGAGTGACCAGAATCCGCCCATCAGGACCTTTAGAAGCAAATGAGCCACTTGCTGGAAACCCGGCTAATTGGAGGGTAAGGGGCAATCCTGACCAGAATTAGGTGCGGATATCCGGCTTTTGAATTCTTGAAGCATGAGGTTCTGGGTAGACCATTTTAATGCCAGGTTTTGATTATGACGCAAATGGATTTTCCATTAGATCCTACAAAAAGGTGATCGACCTTCAATTTTGATCAGGGCGGAAGGGCAACCCAAGGACGTGACTGGATCTCGCCTTCTGATTCTGGGCAAGGTAGAAGGAGCTCGCCGGGCAAAACGAGCTCACCCATGAACGAACGGCCTGGGCTAGAAGTTCGGGAATAGCACTGCTGCGCGCAGATGATATAAGCTTCAGCCTCTCCGTGAATTTGCATTCCACATTCCTTGGGCGCGAGGTTTAAAAGGAACACACTCTGGACTCAGGAGGTTCTCGCAACTTTGCATGGTGACTTAGGGTCTTGAAGAACTTCTTCCGTTGAGTGTGGGGGATGGGGCCACCTTTCTGCACACGGGGCCACCTTGCGTCGGCGGTTTATCCAGCCGAGGTACATCAAGTGAGCCGAGGTCGCCGCGCCCCGTCGGGGTACCCCTCCGTCGCTGGAGTTTCTTTTGGGAGCATAGGACAGTCGTCTCGATGCAGCTCGCCGCGCCGAGGAGTAGATGAGTCGTGTTGAAATGCCAGGCCGAGGTTTGCTGATGGCTTTGTACTGTGTGAAACAGGTCCGTGGCGCAGGAGAAGTCAACGCAAATCGGCTGGGTTTTTTCGAGCGGAGAACGCGTGACTCGTGGAACGCGACAGATGTTTCCTGCTGCGGTTACGGGCAACAAAACCTTGCCCCAAAGAAAGAAGCAATCAAGCAAGCAAGCAAGCAAGCAAGCAAGCAAGCAAGCAAGCAAGCAAGCAAGCAAGCAAGCAAGCAAGCAAGCAAGCAAGCAAGCAAGCAAGCAAGCAAGCAAGCAAGCAAGCAAGCAATCACACGAAAGCAATAAATGCAAAAAAAAAAACAGCAACGACACACAAGCAAGCAACCAAACAAGCAAACACGCAATGAATCACACAAGCAAGCAAACAAGCAAACAAACAAACATGCAATCAAGCACGGAAGCAAGCAAGCAAGAAAAAACACAAGCAACCAACAATAGAAGCAATTCAAGCAAACAAACCACAAAAAGGTCATAAAACAGTTCCAGGCAGTCAAGAAGACAACGCAGGCAGACAGAGAAAAAGAGAGAGAACAGAACAGAACAGGAAATAGATGAAAGAAAAACACAACATGTCATAAGACAACTCAAACAAAAACAGGAAGAGAAGAGAAGAGAAGAAGAGACTAGAAGGAAGCAATATATCATCACATAAACGAACACAAAAGCACTCATTGACACGACTCACCAAGTGAGAGTGCGTGCGTGGGTGCGTGCGTGTGCGTGCGCGTGTGCGTGTGCGCTTGTGCTGTGTGCCGTGTGCCGTGTGCCATGTGCGTGCGCGTGCTCGTGTGCGGTGTGCGGTGTGCGTGTGCGTTGTGTGTGTGTGTGTGCGCGTGTGGCCGCGGGTGCGCGCGGTTTTGCTTGTGTGTCTCCTTGTGTAGGTTGTTCCTTTTGTTGCGAGGCTATTGGTGTGCGTTTTGGTGTGACCTGGGCGTTAGAGGTGGTCGCTCTGCAGCCGTTTGCCGCTCAAGCCGTTAGAGATCCAACAAGTCGCCATGCAGATCTTCGCCATTTGGCCTGTTCCATTGGTGGTTTGGAGATTTGACCTTCTGGCCTTTCTGGAGGGTACACGGGAAACCGCCGCCCAAACAACCAATTGAGGGAAAGCTGATGTGATACACTCACATTCTGAGGTCCTGGAATTGTTGGAAGGCTATTTGCCTTGAAATCGCACCCCCTGGAGGGTTCCATGTTAGTGGAGAGGAGCGTGCTTTCTTGGTAAGACCATTTGAGTAGCACACAAGACGTCTGGAGCTTGTGTTGGTCAACCTGTTTGGGAAGGGAGTAAACAAACAGGTGTGTGCATATTGTAGTAAGTCACTCCCTCAGGAAAAAGAAAGTAGATCTCCCAACATGAATTCATCTAGAAGTTTGGTTTGAGGGGCTTCATGTTTATTTGCAGGGAAGTATGTGTTTCAAACGCAATGGGAGCAACGAGCACCTTCTCCTTTGGACAGCTTCCCATGTCAGCCGCAAATGCTGTCCAAAAGGTAGCCCAGAGAGGGGATTTGCTTTAAGCGTTCTTTCCTAAAGACAAATTTGTGTGTGTGTGTGTTGTGTTGTGTTGTGTTGTGTTGTGTTGTGTTGTGTTGTTTTGTGTTGTGTTGTGTTGTGTGGTGTGGTGTGGTGTGGTGTGGTGTGGTGTGGTGTTGTGTTGTGTTGTGTTGTGTTGTGTTGTGTTGTGTGTGTGTGTGTTTGTTGTGTTGAGCGTAAAAAAAAAACCGCATGGTGTTTTCATGGTTCCCTTGGTGTTGGGGCGGTTCAATGTTCGTATCGGGTCAAGGGGCTCTTCAGACCCGTCATGGAGCTTCAAGTTCCTCCTGCAAGGCGGCGAGCCTTCATGGGTGTGGATTGGTGCTTTGGGCGTTTGACGTTTGAACCGAGGGCCACATCCACAACTCAATATCGGAGGGGGCAAAAACACCTCAAGGAAACTTGTTTGCTCAACACGGTTGATTGCACCTGGTTAGCACAGTTGTTGGCGCTCGCCTTCAAAAGAAAGCGGGCAATCCGTGCGCAGCCCATGTTGGAAAGCATTTACCTTTAGGGAAGCAAGTCTCAAGTTTTTCTTTGCTATTTGCCTTGTGGAGAGGGCATTAGCAGTACAAAAACAAGAGCCAACTTGTTAGATCAATGTTAGGTGACTGCCTTCCCCTGTTTTGTGGCTTTAATAAGGGGGCTCTTCTTGGAAACAGGTGGGCATGTGTCAACTAGGGCGACCGTACAAATGCTGGTTTTCCTTTCGAAAAGGGTACCGAGCCTCCAAAAAACACTCGCAGGTCAGGCCCAAAAGGAACCGGTCCGCTTTTTGTTCCCCATTTCGGGTGACTAGTTTCTCGTTCTGGATCGCTTGAGTCATTGGGGCGCCACGCGTTCGGGGGGGTGGCTGCTCCTCTCCAAGGGGCCCTTGGTCACTGGTTGCGACTGGGGCGGGTCACCGGGCGCTGGAGTTCCCGCGTCGAGTCAAGCGGAACTCAGGTCAAGACGTTGACAGGCAAAACCATCACCCTGGATGTGGAGGTCGCGTGATGGGACCAAGCACTGGGGGCTCACTCCCCGAGTTCCGCGACTTGAACTATACTTTTGGAAGGGCCATTTTAGGGGTAATGGCACAAGGTTTAGACTTTATTTGGCCAGCGGTTGGTTTCGTTTGCTCTGCCGCATGCCGGCAAAGGGGTCTGATTCGTTTTTAAGTGGGCATTTGACATGCTTCAGGTGATAAGGCCGTCAAGGGAAAAATATTTGGTGTCCGGAGCCCGCTTTCCCAACCAATGGGCTCGGCTGGCGAGGGGGCGAGGGTCAGCCACCAACGTTGGTCTTGGTGTCCCTTTGAGTCGGGCGGGCGGAGCCATCCGGCGGAAGTCACACGTGTCCTTGGAGTCAGAGTTGGTCAAACATCGATGGCTTCCACTGGTAGGTGTTCATTCACCAGTGGAATCTAGTTGTTCATATGGGCAATGCACTGGTTTCAGGTGTTCATTCACCAGTGGAATCTAGTTGTTCATATGGGCAATGCACTGGTTTCAGGTGTTCATTCACCAGTGGAATCTAGTTGTTGATATGGGCAATGCACTGGTTTCAGGTGTTCATTCACCAGTGGAATCTAGTTGTTCATATAGGCACCTACTCTCACCTGTGAAAGTCGTTGCGTTTGGTTTTGGCAGCATGTTTTTCGTGTAATACGCACACGAAACGCATCCGGTAGGGTCGTTGCAACTCCGTGTGCCAAAGTGGCGTTTGGTTTAGCATGTTTTCAAGAGACAATTGCTGCGTGATATTGAGGTCTTTTTTGTAGAGAAATACATGCTGAACGTGGTCCCCTGAGATGGTTTCATTGATCAAGTTGAGGTCTTTTGGGTAGGCCGAACGCACTGGCACACATGGAAAACACCTTCCCTCGATCGCGGTTTGTGTTGGTGATGTTGAGGCATTTTGGGTGGCCAATTGCATTGGCACACGCCTGAAAAACCACTTACTGGGTCCTTGTGGTTACACGCCCCGCAAGCCATGATCTCGCGCCGCAAGCAGTGTGCCAGTGGGGAAAGCTATTTAGGGTCATGATCATGCTGTCTTTTATGATGTGTGGCATGAAGCCATTTTGAATCAAATCGCATGGGTACACTCGTTTCACTTAGATGTTGCTGACGATGCAAGTGCTACCCCAGCCCCCCACCGTAGAACACACATAGTCAAGCAACATTTTTGGGGATTGCCTTCTTTTTGGCGTGCAAACACACATAGTCAAGCAACATTTCGGTCCCAACTGGTATGCGATGTGCCATGGGGATTGCCTTCTTACTCGTACCTAAACATGTATGCTTAACATGCATCTAAGTGCCTTGTAACATGCGATGTGCCATGGGGATTGCGTCCGTAGTTGTACTCAAACAAAGCAGTTTTAGGAGACACTCGGGCGCCGTGTGCCAGTGGGGAAGGCTCAGTTGCAAGGACCCTGCCGGGACTACTCGTTGCGTTGTTTTTACTGGCAGGCTGCGGACTTTCAAGAAAAACACGAAAATGCAAGGACTTTCGCGTTTGGGTGTAGGGAGTCGAACGCCTCAAGGAAGCAGTTTCGGGCCCCAATGTCTTACGACCGATGCAACGAACACGTCAGCATGACTTGTGTACGAGAAACCACGCGCAGGGCTGGGGGGATTAGGCACCTCTACACGTCGAGCTCGGCTTGGCAATGGGCGCTTGCCTTTGAGGACCATCGAAGGGTCCTTGGTTTAGGGACATTTGGCATGCCATGGCGGCCTCAGTTCAGTACTGCCTGAACTGTTTTGGGTTGCTGTTGGCTCTTGCCTCCGTTATTTACTCGTTGAGCAAACCTCCCAGGGTCGGCGCATAGGTCTCATGGGCTTGGGGGATGGGAATTTGGTGCCAGGCCTCCGATACCATTGACAACGTCAAGGCCAGGTTTTACACTAGGCTTGATTGCGTTGACTCACTTGCAAAAAGTTGAACTGTTTGTGGGTTCAATGGAAAATTATTGATTTCCTAAAAAGATAAAGTCTAAAGATACCACCCAATAGCAATCCAGTAGTTGATCCCCTTCTGACTCACTTGTGCCAAGCGAATCGAGCTTTTGACATTTTGGCTGTCCTATTCTGGTACTCGTTTTCGGTCATGGCTTTGAAAGGTTGAATGTCAGATTGTGCTACCTTTGGTTTCAATTGGCCAAAGAGGTCCCCCTTTCAAGACGGCGTTTGAGGAAGCATGTTTTGAGCCCTGTGGAGGAAGGGAGCACAAGTCCATGTGGCCGACACGAGGGAGGATAGTTGTTGATTGCTGCCTCCACACGTTGCAATTGTATTCGTAGCAGGTTTTCCTTGGGCATCTCTTAAGTCAGCATGGCATTGCTGATGCAGTCATCCTTTTGGGTCAGTTTGAGTAGAAATAGATCGCACTGACGTCAGCGTGGTTCTAGTTTTCTACCAGCGTCATCTACCAATTGTTTCACAAGAGTTCCTATGGAGCTTCATTATTGTTGCCCTTGAGCATTTAAAGGATGGGGTGCGCAGTGTTGGGCTCAAAAATTGAATGCTGTTCTTGAGCATGAGTGTGCCTTAGCACGTGCTTTCTCTTGAACGTGCCAATTTTCCGACCCGAAGGCCACAGCCTTGCAAATTGGGTGCGAGCCATGACCCCTACCTTTTGCCCATACGCTGCACACTGGTATGCACTGGTTAGCCAGGATGTTTACGCTGCGGGGTAGGAATCCTTGCATGGCACGGTGCTCTC